AAAAAATTTCTTTTTGTTTTTTTTTTTTTTTTTTTTTTTTTTTTAATATTGACAAAAATATTTTACTCTTTTACCGTAAAGTAGGTAGGCCTTGACAACTTAAATATTATAATTTAGACTACTTGAGCGAGTTGGAAAGTTTTATAAATCTTTTTAGTTCGTATCCATATTATTATTTTTCTCTCTGTCAAATTGTTTATGGGTATAAAATTGATACAAGAAGCAAGAGTTCATAAATAATAATTTGGATATCTTAAGAGAATTAAATAAATAATGAGTCCATAGAAAAACGTTAATAAAATTTAAGAAGATGGGTAGAAGCTGAATTGGAATTGAATTGTCAAAACCCGACCAATAAGAGGAATTATGTTATGGGTCTTTATGGCCATTGGTCAAAGGACGCCTCTGAGTCCGACTGCCTGGATTCTCATTCAAACCAATAATATACTTCGACCCTGCCTAATTTTGATTTTTCAAAATGTGGAGAATGCAAAATTTGACTTTGCTTACTTAATGTTTAAAAAGTACAAGAAAGCAAAATTATTTTTAAATATGTGCAATTAAAAAGTATCAATAACTTTTTTTTTTTTAAATGTTATTAACAAAATTTATTCACATACAAATACTATTTTATTAAGAAAATGTACAATTGAAAATGAATTTAAAAAAAAATAAAATAAGACAAAGAAGTACAAAATTATTTTATTTAAAAAATATATGATCGAAAATGAATATGATGAAAAGTAATTTTGAAAAATCAAACAAGGGATGCAGCCACTACTTCACACGAAATCCAATTACCCAGTTAACATTTCTATTTATTAGTGCTTGTTTAAGAATTTCATAGACTAGTATATTCCAAAAAAATAATAATAATAATTTATTTATTTATTTCATCTGTTGTTTTAAATAGAATGGTGATATTTGGATTCATTAAAACAAGTAACTTATTTCTGTTAAATTTGAATAATTAACAGCTATTTATTCAAAACTTACTAATAGATAATGTAACGTGCTCTGCAATCGCATCTTTCCTCAAAGGGATCTGTTTAAAAAACTCGAAATAACACAGAATGCTGTGATTATTTAAAATTGCTGCTTATATCACATCAAAGCATGAAAGCCAGCCAACTCCTGAAGCACCGCTTTTATTTGCTCTGGCAAAGCGTCCCTGCATTGCTGATTAACAGAAAATACGAATTTTATTAGCTGATGGTAAATAGCATTTCTGTGCGTCGAAGTTCACTCCTCGCTTGCTTAATATAAATTTTGCTTTAGGGATACATCAATCTTATTTCTCTGTTCCTGTTTTTACCATTTCCACAGTTGACAGGAGGGAGACTAATTTTGCAGCTGTGGATGAAATAAAAAATAGCAACGCCTTGGTTCCATGTTGATCGTGTAGCAAGGTTATAATTTTAAATGGGAAACGAAGAGAGCTTGAAGAACAATGGGGGAAAAAAAACATACCTCAGCTCGTAGCACATCCAAAGCGAATCCGTTGAAACAGCTGATGACAGCTTGCTGAATGTCCAGCCCGAGGTTGTCCAGAGCCTTCAAAGTGGATTGTAAGAGACCCACTCTACGGTCACAGAACATGTGTATATTGACACCACTCCCTTCTCTCATACTCACCTCAACCTACAAAACTCAGAAAAATAAAAAACAAAAAATAAATAAATAAACAAAAACATATTGGGATCTTTTAAAAAGAAAAATTCTGCATGTCAAAGATATTAGCACGTAAGGATGTACTTATCCGCTGAAACTGGAAGAACACAAAGCTGCATGTAAAGGAATTAATTAGCCCCTCTTTGGCAACCATTATTTTAAAACTTTTTTTCCACATATTCATTTTCAACACACATTTACACGATAAAATATTCTGCATGTAATCCCAAAATTTTTTCCAACATTTTCACCACAAATTCTCCTAAAAATCATAATTCAAAACATTATTTTGGCCAAATAATGGCCATCAAACAGAGGCTTAGTACCATGTTTTCCCTACTAATCTTCTAATAGCCCTCCAAATAGATATACTTATTCTAGAAGAATTAAGAAGCTTACTGCATCAGTTGACAGGAGCAAAAACAGATTCTGTTAATTAAATAGGTGGTTTAAACAGAATTTAGTTAACAGGGCTTATTATATTGTTTTGAAAGGGGGTAAAAATGAGAATGAAAAATTTAACTGTTATGGACCCCACCTAAAAGATAAAAATTCAAATTTGGTGATTTGATGTGATGAATAACGGTCATATTTTTCATTTTAATAGGGAAAGAATGGGAAACAAAAGGGGGCTAAAGCACCAAAATCCTGATGACTCCCAAGAATATAATGGAGAAAGAAATCAACCACAACAAATTATGAAGTGGCAATGGGCACAAGGGTATTAGTGAAGGGAAAGGGGGATACGTAATGGGGTGGTGCAAGAGCTGCACGAGAAGACAATTATATAGAGGATTTTATGTACTTAGACTTACGCAGGACTGATGTCATCTTAGGTATGCAGTGGCTTGGCAATTTAGGAAACATAAGAGGTTAATTGGAAGCTTTTAACCATGAATTGCGAAGGTGTTGAAAGAAGACCCCGAAATCAGCATGACAGGTGCGTCCCTAAAAACAATGATGAGGACTTTACAATAGGACGGCCAAGGGGTTTGGTTGAAGTTGGGGAATTTGACCGAGCTGTGACTGGAGGGGAGAATGACGACCCATCACATATAGAGATTTTTAAGTTCTAAAAAGATACCAGCAAATTTTTGAACCACCTAGAATCTGCCACCAAGCTGTGACATCGACCATGCCATTTGGTGTAAGAGATGTTAGCTACAGGAAACATCTAGCCTAGTGTGAGTCCCTTCTCCAACCCGATTTTATTAGTCAAGAAGGATGGCATTGGGTGCCTTTGCAATTACAACTGTGCCAAACAAATTTCCAATCCTGGTTGTCAATGAGTTACTAGACGAGCTGCACATGGCCATGGTATTTTCTAGGACTTAAAATTCGGTTACCACCAAATCAGGGTGCGGAAGGACTGAAGGAGGATGTACACAAAACTGCATTTCAAACTCATGGGGGCACTATGAGTTCCTCATTTTGCCCTTCAGCCTAATGAATGCCCCGACGACGTTTCAGTCTCTAATGAACCTGTATTTCGAAACTATTTGAGGAAGTGTTGGAATAATAACTAGTTGCAGTAATGTTCAGAACAATAAAATATAGAAATATATAAGACTTATCATCCGATCGAGTCTCGTGACAGCACGATATCTTAAAGTGAAATTATCCGTCGATAATTGCTGCGACCTTCGTGGACAATCACTCTCAGGATACAACGATCGTAAACCACTTATACAGCAATCACGAATGGTTTTTCCAGAACTCTCAATTGTACTCCAAAATATATGTAAAAACCCGAGTATAAGAAAATCAGAATATGAAAATGAAGGATTGATACAAGATGATTTTTCTATTTTTTTTTATTTTTGTGTGTATTTTTCCCAAAACGAGATATGGATTTATATAGGCAGGATGGAAGTAACATTCTCTACCATGATCAGAGATTACTTCAGAATTTTAATGACTGAATAGTGGGTATTTTAATGACTGTTAGTGGGTTTTACAAAAACAAACAGTCAGAAAATACTGGCTAGTTTTACCCATTAAATAATAATAAAAAAATCATTTATTTTAGTCAAGGAAGAAGCCCAAGAACCCAAGGCCCCAATCAAGACATTTTAATATCTGCGTGGGGAGTGACTCGAATCCCTAACGTCCCACACAGATGCCACATTTCTCACCACTTTGACACTTTATCTAATTTAATTATTTCTTTCACATTTTATATTTATACCATAAATATATAACAATCCCCCACATGAAAGAAATAAGATAAATGAAAATATTATTCTGGAATACGGTAGAAATCATGCAGGCTTAGGTGTCTATTAACTTGAACCTTAGCTTTGTATATTCTATCGAGCTTACTAACTGTAGAGTGATTAATGTCTTGAATTCTACAATTATAGTTACAAACTGAGACAATAGAATACACACATGATTTCAAGAAAAATCATTGAGTTCTCGCGGTTGTGTTCATTTCGACCGTGAACTTTCCCAATTTCTTTGAGTGCTCTAGAGAATTCGCCTCAATTCTCATAGGAAGCGGCCCCACTTCCACACTCAAATAGGTGCTACTATCAAGGGTGCACTGTAGTTAAACACCCCACTGAATATCAACTATAGTAAGCATTAAGAGCATTAACTCATCCTCTAATCAATACAGTTGGTACTACGCATCATAGGGAGGGATTTTGAATAAATCCAATGTAGTACCTTCACAGACCACTCCAATAACTTTGTTGTCCCATTGAACCTTGACCATGGAATCTCCAATTGCAAGGTTGGGTTTTCATTATAGGTGATCTAATAAATAATAGGCTTTAGCCCTATCCCCCTTAATGTTTGTTGAATTAGCTCTCTAGCCAATCCTTTGATAAATGGGTCAGCAATGTTATCACTTGACTTCACATAGTCAATAGCTATAATCCCATCCTTAAGCAGCTGACGCACAGTATTGTGCCTCCTACGAATATGTCTAGACTTTCCATTGTAGGATGAATTTTGAGCTCTTGAGATAGCTACTTGACTGACACAATATATTGAAATAGTTGGAAATGGTTTAGACCACAAAAGAACATCCATAAGAAAATTCCTTAACCATTCAGCCTCCTCACCTACCTTATCTAAAGCTATGAACTCAAATTTTATAGTAGATCTAGCAATGCAGGTTTGTTTAGCGGATTTCCAGGAGACAGCACCGCCTGCTAATGTAAATACATATCCACTTGTAGATTTACTTTCATTGGTATCGGAAATCCAATTAGCATCACAATATCCCTCAAGTATAGCAGAGAATTCGGTATAATGTATTCCCCAGTCTAGAGTGTATCTCAAATACCTCAAGACTCGAATGAGAGCATCCCAATGTTCATTGTTAGGATTACTAGTATACATGCTAAGTCTATCGACAGCATATGCTATATCAGGTCTTGTACAATTCATAAGATACATGAGACTGCCGATTACTTTAGCATACTCTAAAGCGGAAACACTAGGACCTGAATGTTTTTTCAAATGACGGCTTGCATCATAAGGTGTTTTAGCAGGAATACAGTTGTATTGATTAAACTTCTGAAGCACCTTTTCTACATAATGTGATTGGGTCAAAATAATTCCTTCAGAATATTTTACTATTTTGATTCCTAAAATAACATCAGCAACACCCAAATCTTTCATTTCAAAGTGCTTGTTCAGAAACTGTTTAGTTTTATTAACCACATCTAAACTAGTTCCCATAATCAGCATATCATCAACATATAAGCAAATTATCACACCATAATTATTTTCAAATTTGCTATATATGCATTTATCTGCTTCATTTATCACATAACCACTTGATGTCAAAACTGTATCAAATTTTTCATGTCATTGCTTAGGAGCTTGTTTAAGGCCATAAAGGGATTTTTTAAATCTACATACTTTATCCTTAAGGCCTTCTACAACAAATCCTTCAGGCTGATCCATATAAATCTCCTCTTCAAAGTCTCCATTTAAAAATGCGGTCTTGACATCCATTTGATGTATAATAAGATCATACGGTGATACAATTGCAATTAACATCCTAATAGAGGTAATCCTAGTAACAGGTGAATAAGTATCAAAGAAGTGAACTCCTTGTTGACCTCCAAAAATGGCTCCAACAGGCATCCTAGCTTTGTCCCCTCGAAACCTGCGCATGTAACACCCGTCAAGAGGCAAAGGCGGCCGGACGAGAAAAAGGTCCGGCGACCGTTTGCACTCCGACGGTCAAGTCAACGGCCGGACGGAGATAGATATAAAGAGTGCAATAGTAGAGAGATAAGGGATTTGGCTAGAGTATTTAGAACATATCTTAAGTTGTGAATTGAATCCATATATATAGAGAAATGATGTGAAATGGGCCAAGGCAGGTTAATGGGCCTAAGTTTGAGCCCAGTATGAGGTGAGCAAAGTGATAGGCACTTCGGCTGGGCTTTTTATGGCCTCGACGGCGCCTCGGCTAGGCTTCTTAGAGCCTCGGCTTTGAGGTCCAACACTAATGGGCCTAGCTCGGGTCCAATAAGGTGGCCCAATATGGAGTGATAATTCATAGGCGTAACAGTAGTCCCCCAAGTCCGAGTCGTGTTATTTATATGCGGGTCGGACTTGAAATCTAAACTCTCAAGTAGGCGAGGTCTTACAGATTGCCTCAGAAAGATGGGTAGCTCCAATAAGCGAGGGCTTACGAATTGCCTCAGAAAATGTGTCAGAATAAGCGAGGACTTACGAATTGCCTCGAAAGATATACTGCGTATACTTTTTCAAAATTTCGACAGCATCTCCTCTGTAATATGGACTAAACCAATCCTGTAATACAATACAATATATCCACAGCACATATACCAAATAAATTTGTGGTCCATTTGCCCCTTTAAATGCTCATAAGGTGTAACATATCGCATTTCTCCAAGATATGTGCAGAGGGCTGTCATGCATTATAATAAATCATATGCTCGCACAGCTCAATGTATCAGTAGTGCTATAGTGAAGCAAGT